AGAAGGCAGCCCAAGCCATGAATATGTTTTGGTGCAGCCTTTTTTAGAATTAAGAGGCTCTCTTCTGATACATAATTTATTTAAGGCATCTGTGTGCTTGAATGCAGAGACATAGTTCAACATTCAGTCCACCATCCCCATCATCTATCATACCGAAGCACTTTTTATAGATTTATGCAGACAGGAAGGTGACTAACTTTACTTTCTGTTCCTTTATTCATGTGTTGTCCTGAGGGGACCTTTGTTGATATTACCGTGTGCCTCCTGAAAAATCTTTGTTCAGAGTAGGAAAACTAATTGGTTTTATCCTGGACGAACAATGAATAATGCACAGTATTTTAGAACTATCCTAAGGGCACATACTTATTGTAAAACGCTAAACATTGAAAATGCTGAATAAAATGGGTTTCTGCAAGAGTTTTAAAATCCCTTTTTTAAAATACATCATTCTCTGGGCGTAGTTTAGTATCACTGCAGCCTGATCCATTTTATCCTTTCTTTTGAATAGGGAGATAATAGAAAAGTTTACCATTTAAAAGATCTAGCTCTGAGAGTATCTCCTGTTAGGATTTCCAAGGGTGAAGCATTTGTCGAGCGGTCATTCCCTGATAAAAGGTACAGGGGAACATTCTCTGCTGCCATCAGGCTCATGATAACCTTAAAAAACTTCCCTGCATTGCAGACAATTGAACAGCATTTGGGATTTTCACTATTTGCCTTCAGTTCCTGCTCCTGTGTTTCATTTGTCATTGATCACCTACTAGCTCTGAGGGACAAGAAATTATTTTATTCTGCACTGTGTTCTGTCAAAAAATTATGTTGTAAAGCCAACTGTTAGGTTTTTCCTATTTGCTTGTTAAACAGATCCCAGTAGTAACAGAGTAAAAATGTTTAACACAGTACAAAGGCAACTCTCCTTTTAGTTCTTCATGGTGGGCGATTATATGAGCAATATTTGTTCAGGCACAGCTGTTTGTTCTGAATTTTTTTTTTTTTTTTAACTAAAAATTAGGCAAATAGCCATGGAAATGTTTGTAAAGAATTACAGTCATAAGAGGGGAAAAAAAAAATCTCACAAATCTTTTTAACCCCCCCCGCCCCCCCCCCCAATATTTTATATCCTAAGAAACTGTGTAAGTTCATATGAGGGGACATTCCTAAGGATGGGAAGAAAGAAAATGTCACTTCTATATTCAGGAAGGTCAAGAAAGAGGATCCAGGGAACCACAGGTCAGTCAGCTTCACCTTGATCCTTGGGAAGGTGGTGGAGTGAATAATCCTGGAAACCATTTCCAAACATATATGAAGGACAAATAGATGACTGGGAGCAGTCAGCATGTTTGTGTGAAAGGGAAATCATACTTGACCAACTTGATGACCTTCTACAATGAGATGACTGCCTTGGAGGATGAAGGGAGAGCAGCGGATGCTGTTTATCTTAACTTCAGTAAGTCTTTTGACATTGTCTCCTGTTAATGTCTCATAGACAAACTGATGAAATATGAACTAGATAAATGGACAGTAAGGTGGATTGAAAACTGAGCCGCCAGGCTGAGAGGCGCACAGTCCAGCTGGAGGCCAGTCACTGGCGAAGTCGATACTGGACCCAACACTGTTTAAAAACATCTTCATTAATGACCCGGACAACGGGCCAGAGTTCGCAGAGGACACAAAACAGGGAGGAGGGGTTGGTGCACCAGCTGGTTGTGCTGTCATTCAGAGGGACCTCAACAGGCTGGAGAGATGGGCTGGCGGGGATTTCACAAGGTTCAACAAAGGGAAAAGCCAAGCCCTGCCCTTGGGGAGGAATCACCCCGTGCACCAGTACACACTGGGGACCCACCAGCTGGAAGGCAGCTCTGAAGGACTTGGGGTCCTGGTGGAGAACAAGCAGATCATGAGCCAGCAATGTGCCTTTGTCGTAAAAAAGACCAAAGCCTCCCGGGCTGCGTTAGGAAGAGTGTTTCCAGCAGGTCAGGGGAGGTGATCCTTCCTCTCTGCTCAGCCCTGGTGAGACACATCTGGAGTGCTGGGTCCACATCTGGGTTCCCAGAAGAAGGGAGACATGGACATACTGAACTGTGACCAAGGAAGGTGTCCATGAAGATCATTCAGGGACTGGAGCATCTGACGTACAAGGAGAGGCTGAGAAAGCTGCGACTGTTCAGCCTGGAGAAGAGAAGGCTCAGGGGGGATCTTACCAGCATGTGTAAATACCTGTTGGGAAGGAGTAAAGAAGACAGAGCCAGACTTTTCTCTGTGATGCCCGATGACAGGACAGGAGACCATGGGCACAAATTTAAATACAGGAAATTCTGGTTTTAAATGTAAGGAAAAAAATTCCTTATTGTACTGTGATCAAACACTAGAAGAGGCAGCCCAGAGATGTGGAGTCTGCATCCTTGGGAGATATTCAAAACCAAGATGGACATAATCCTGGAAGACCTGCTCTGGCTGATCCAACCTGAGCTTGGATGTTGGACTAGATGACCTCCAGAGCTGCCTTCCAACCTCAATTTTTCTGTGGTGCTGTGATTCTGTAATCTCTGATTCTGTGTATAATTCCTCCTTTTTTGCTTTTTAACAATTTGTCTTTCATTTTTTACATCTTATCAGAGGAGGACAGGGCCATCAAAGTTTACAACTTACAGAAAAAAGAGTAACAGTGCTGCAAAAAGCAAACAGCTTTTAAGAATTAACAAGGAGACTTAGATGTTTGAGACATTTTAGTCAGAAAAAGCAAAGCTTTTTTCTTCTTTCATATTCATAGGCAATTCAATTATTGCAAGTGGAAACCCAGAAAAGACAAATTTGAATTAATTTGTTTATTTTAATGAATTATATACTTTAAATCTGTTGGAACAGATTAACCAACGAATGTGGAAGAGTATCCTTCTGTTTTTTTAAATCAAACTTGGGTGGACAGTCAGGGCTGGTTAAAGATCAAGTTCTACGTTATCCCAAAGTTCAAGAGAAAGAACCGCTTTAAATGAAGATTTTGTCAAGGGGAGGAAAACACGACAAATTGCGACTACATTATCCTAGAGAAGCGCCCAGAGAGGTGTATTCAAGACCAATTTCCCTTCCCACCCCCACTATTTAGCTGATGCAATGCCTGTGGGTTGCTACAGAGGTGCAGTAGTTGGTATATCAAGAGAGGGTGCAGGGGAGGACGTTGCCTTTCCAGGGCTCGCCAGGGCAGCCACATGAAATCTGGATGATGGGTAGCTGGCAGCACCTCCATTTGTAGAGGCAACATGTGTTTTAGTTGGCAGAGCCACCTCACTGGGGTGCTGCCCTCCGACTTCTGCCCCAGCACGCGACCACCCCTTTGCTTTGCTCCTTCCCTGGCATCCCCATCCATCGTAACAGCCTGGGTGTATCCGAAGTCCTGCTGTGTCTGAGGAAGGGCACTTCTTATAGCAGCTACAACAGTCAGAACCTACTTCACCTCCACAGCTACAAGCAGAGAAACCACCAGCTGCTATAGCTCTTCTGGCCCTGGACTCCTGCTCTGCTGTCACCAAGCACATGCTGAAACCAGGAGGCTCCAGGGACCATTCAGGCCAAGCAGGACAGTGTCTATCAAATTAAGGCTCAATACTGGAAAGTAGGTTGACTGAGTCACTAACTGAGAGCATCTTCTGATACTTGAATGGAAATTTAGAATTCTTCAGACAGAATCCCATGCTGAAGTGTGAATACTTGGGTCAAAACCTCACAGTTGGGCTTGTTGCCACAGCACAATGACCTTATTATTGGACCTGACCTCCTGCCTTCGTGGTGGTTCAAATATATCCATCGTATTTCACAGTCTGGGTGGGCCTGAAGCACATACTCAGTCTCGTCATCTCAGCTGAGAAATGTTAACTCTTCAGGCTCCTCCTTATTTTCAGTGATGTGCCCATACACTTGGGCTTTTTCCTCCCTTTCTGGATCTTCCTCATTGCTCCAAACCCCCTTTGTTTGATGACACTTCAGAATGATTTATGAGCTTACGAATGATTTATTATGGAGCTTCAAAAACATTTTCTGGAGCTTTCTTGATTAAATATTTTTTAAAAAGTAAAAGTTTGCTGAAAGTTTTGCTCTACTCTTTTTCTAAGAGCTTGATTCTTCTATTTATAACAGGTAGACAGCCTATATGCAATAAAGTCAAAATATAGCTAAGGTGGTTATGAAAACATAACTAATAACGGGGACTTGTTCTTCCTTGCAAGTGCCTCGGTCCCATAAATGCCGCCCCAAGCATGTGCTTACCCATGCTGCCCAGATGCCTATGCTTCATAAAACCTGATGCAATGAAAACTGAATTGACTGCTTTCAAGGGTCGTTCTGAGAGCTTCATTATTTAATTTTTATTTCAGTCTGGGCTGTGTTGCTTACACAGGAAGTTTCACTTGACTTTTAGTACCTTAAAAATATTGTAATAACACTGCTTGGGTCTTGCAGTTCTGAGTAGTGTCTTTATGTGCACAAAGAGACATTCACCACTCCGCAGAGTTCACATATTACTTAAATCTTACAAGATTAATATAGATTTACACGTTGCATAGAATGTTCTGGCCTTCTCCCACCTAGGACTTCCAACCCTGGGAGAAACACCTCTCCACAAGGATATATCCTGAAATTGGTAGTACAGACCAAATGAGACAAAGGTCCTTTCCTTTAATCTATGTATATTACATGAAGACTATAGCTAGCAAGCACACATACACTGACTCTCTGGGGAAGGGGGATGAATAGTAGAAAAGTGTTGCTGGTTTTAGACCCAGTGCGCAGTCTGCCTGTCTTTCAATCTGCAATACAAATCTCCCCTGATGAATGCAACAGTTGTGATTTTATTTTCCAGGAAGACGAATACAGAGGTGGTAGTGGCCAAAAGGAGTCTACATACAAATCGCAGAGATTAATGCAGCTGTAAGGCAGTTAGGTCCTGTTTCTGTTATCTTGCTGAGAAACAACCGCTGTGGATTGGTAAATAAAAGTTAGCACTGTCCTCAGGAGTTATTTTTTGAAAATCCAAGCATAAACGAAGAGCTATGGGTGAGGGGATGGTCTGTCTGCACGACTGAAGGGGCCAAAGTTTCTTCATCATTTCTGAAAATTGCCCTCCTTCAATGACTGTCCAGTGACTGCTTCAACTTCTCCTTAAAGAAACTAGTTGTGAGTGTATAGAGAGTGGAGTTCAAGGCACTGTGTATTGGCAGAACAAATACCACTATGCAAGAAGGGACAGTGTCTAGGAGAAAAGGAAAGATACTTCATATGCTTTGTTGTAGGAATGCTAAAGAAGCAAACGTGTCTTTATATAATTTTTACTTTATGGCCTTTATTTTACTTTATGTCACATCACTTTGTATCATTTTTTTGCAAAACATTACATTAGTATTATTTTTACAAGAAAGGGGTTTAAATTCAACATGGCTCATTGTGGTTTTCATTGAGTTCACCATGGGTTTTCATGAAAAGGGAGAAAAAAAGAGCTTTTCACCAGAGAGTGTCTTTATCTACTGGAATTTAATAAAAGCACTGAACATAAGCTGAAGTCCATCTCTCTTTAGCATAGTATTTAATATAAATCCAAATCCCATACCTATTTTTCACATGGCAGTTTTCATCAGTAAGTTTCAAAATGCCCTACAAAACCTATCATTGTTATTATTTTACAGAGGGGAACCTGGAGTACAGAGGCACGAAGTGACTTGCTCAGAGGGCCATGAGCTGCGCTGTGTATAGAGCCTCACCATCACGAAGCCCATGCCAGCCACAGTCGTACATCTTCTGAACATCCTCGTGATGGCCACGTTTTATTTTCAGCAATCGACATGTAATCACTTTGCTCCAAATGGAATTCAGTGCTCCCAATGAGGCTAAATAGGTTTTATGATAAAGCCATTGACAATTTACTACATTTCTTTAATGCCTTTCATATTACGGAGAATTATTTACCCAATTTTCTACAACCACGAGGTATCAATTTTCTAGAATTATAATGGGAAAGCAGGATGCCTTTATTACTGTTATCTGTCAGCGGCTGCAAGGTTCGCAGGGCTGCGTACAGCCGGTGCGGTGAGGGAGAACCGTGACGTTGTACAGCTCCTCCGCGGGCTGGCGGTGGAGAGTGCGGGGATGGCCCGTGGCCTCCTCAGGACCCCCTGGAAGTCATTGCCTGCACTTATAGATGTGGTGTCTGGGTTGCTTAAAGACCCTCCTGTTGCGTTTTCGGTTTCCCGATGATCAGACGAGTGGAGTTGCACATATTACGGTGGGATTTTGCAGCTGTAGCAGAGGAGAGCCTCTTCGCTGGGTAGCCTGTCCTGGTTCTCGCCTACATACACGGATTGAAGATTGTATGTATGTATTTTAAAGCTCAGTTTCTGAATGCAGAAGAAGTCAAATGTTTTGGGCAATACTTACTCTTCACCAAGGGTTAACTAGAATTCCTCTGGCAGACTTGGTTTGGTTTAAATGGAATCTTTAACAAAAGAAATCACATGCACACAGCATTACCTGGAATTTCCACCTGGAATAAGGACAGGATTTCAATGACAGACAGGAATCCAGCAGATGGCATCAGTGAATACTATTAAAAAAAACGATTGGCAACAGCAACATCCCTGCATGTGTGACTCCCTACCTCTGATGTCCGAAGGGCAGTTTTCTGAACGGACCAAAACATGCTGACCTACGAGAACACAATGATGTGGGAGAAACAAGATTCAAACAAATAGCATTGAAATGGTCTTTCTTCTCTTCCCTTTCTCTCGACCACTTCTCGTGTTTCATTCTCTTCCATTATTTTGTTATAATTTTTACATTAATGTATCTGTAGTACGTAGATACCAATTTTATGTTATAAGCAGCTCCTCAATATTGTCTAGTGTCACGCAGCCTGCTCACATATCACGTGTTCCCATCTGTTACACAGCGAGATGCGAATAAGTTGTAAGAAGTTACTATAGAAACACAGTTAATGCACAGTACGGGTGGGCTCGTGATTCCACAGAGATCTGGTCTCCTGACTAGAAATGCTGCAGTAAATCTCAAGCAGAAACCACCTGCAGGACTCTCACATAGTACGGAAAGAACGACATATTCCCCAGCAAAGTGACAAACTGCTCTGAGGCGTATGTTCATTTTAGACTGGCTTCCTCGGGTCTGTATAAATATTCATTCCAAATTACTGATGGAAGAACATGTGCAGAGCAAGCTGTGCAACTTGGATTTTAATCGCACTGCGCTGTGTTGCAGAGCAAGGTTTTTAACAGTTCATCAAGTGGCAACTCAGTGGACTGGAGTACTCCGATAAGTAGCTGAGAGCCCTTGAAGGAGCCATTTATGTCAAGATCCCAGCACCTGTGCGTTGGGTTTGCATGGCAAGGTTTTGGTGGGGGGGGGCTACAGGGGTGGCTTCCGTGAGAAGCTGCTGGAAGCTTCCCCCATGTCCGACAGAGCCAATGCCAGCCGGCTCCAAAACAGACCCACCGCTGGCTGAGGCCGAGCCCATCAGTGATGGTGGTAGTGCCTCTGGGAGAACAGATTTAAGAAGGGGAAAAACCTGCTGCAGAACAGTAGCCAAGGAGAGGATTGAGAAGATGTGAGAGAACCAACCCCGCAGACCCCCAGGTCAGTGCAGAAGGAGGGGAGGAGATGCTCCAGGCGCCAGAGCAGAGATTCCCCTGCAGCCCGTGGGGAAGACCACGATGAGGCAGGCTGTCCCCCTGCAGCCCAGGGAGGTCCATGGTGGAGCAGATCTCCACCTGCAGCCCGGGGAGGACCCCACGCCGGAGCAGGGGGTTGCCCGAAGGAGGCTGTGACCCCATGGGAAAGCCCATGCTGGAGCAGTCTGTGCCTGAAGGACTGCAGCTCATGGAAGGGACCCACGCTGGAGCAGTTCGTGAAGAACTGCAGCCTGTGGGAAGGACCCACGTTGGAGAAGTTCGTGGAGAACTGTCTCCTGCGGGAGGGACCCCACGCTGGAGCAGAGGACGAGTGAGAAGTCCTCCCCCTGAGGAGGAAGGAGCGGCAGAGACAACGTGTGATGAACTGACCCCAACCCCCATTCCCTGTCCCCCTGCGCTGCTGCGAGGAGGAGGTAGGGAAAATTGGGAGTGGAGTTGAGCCAGGAAGGAGGGTGGGGTGGGGGGAAGGTACTTTAAGATTTGGTTTTAAGCTTGCAAGGCAGTAGGATTTGGCCTACTGCAATCATTTGGAAGTACTCACATTTTGAAATATACAATTCAAAAATAACACAAGCACTTATTACTTCCTGTGCCAAAAAAAGGAGAATTGAATGGAATCGAATAGAAAGCACAGAATATTTCAGCTGGAAGGGACCTACAACAATCATCTAGTCCAACTGCCTGACCAGTTCAGATGATGATGAGTTGACACATCACAGAATAAATCCAGACAGCAAGTAGTCCAACACTAGCTAGATTGTCCATACTCTTTAATGCAGAATGAATAGTAGTAAATAATAACGTAAAATGTTTAAGTTTCATAGGTTCTTTCTACACATCTTGACTACCTAAAGTCAAGGAATTGAAGGACCTTGGTTATTTTTTGACACTCAGTTTCATTTAGAATATCAGAAAATAGTGCAAAAATAGATAATGCATAATATTTTTGAGTGTTTTGAAACTAGTGTGTGTCTAGAATGCAAACTGAGATTTTCGGAACATACATGATGTTATGTATTATATATAATATAATGTCATAATATAGCATACAATACTATATTAATACATTAATTTTATTAATATACTAATCAAATCAATGCATTATTAATACCTTTAATACATACTTACAAAATTTTGATAGACATGGTGCGTGTCTCATTTTCTGCTTTGATAAATGATCTCATTCTGATGACAAGATTTCCAAAACATGCAACACAAGCTATGACCCATACAAATACTCTCAGAACTTTGTAAGCTAAGAGATCTTCAAATGATGAAATCCCAACTGTTAATGATGTGCATATTTGCAGGTGGAGTGCATGGAAGCAATAAGTGAAGCTTTTTGAAGTAGCTGAAAGTAAAGCAATGAACATGTAAGGCTGCTGGTTAAACACAAGCCAATGTCATAGTTATGTACTAGTTATGCAATTAGGTGCAAGGAGCTGGAAGAGAAGAAATCTTAGCAAAATAATTCCTAGTGCATGTGAGGGGCACGTTGTGAGAGGTATTAAATCAAGGGAGGATTTACTTAGGGGGTTGGTAGCAGCTCATGTTCTTTTGGTCCCCAATAGCAATGCTGGTGGTAGTGGCCACAGTCAGCTGTGATTTCCTTCAGATCCCTGTAATATGCAATTAAGACATTGCCCTTTGTTCATGTACGACTTGAGAGGAATGGTCAGAGCTGGTGTGTTTTTTGTTTTCACAAACCTTGTAAGGACTTTGCTTTGCTACTCTTAGTTTGTTGTCAGTGTGCAGGTGGATGTTCTTCACGCTAAGCTGCTTCAAAAGCAGATCTTTTACTGTCCTTGGCAGAAGGATTTTGCGTGCCTTAACAGATTGTGGAATGCCTGTGGAATGACTTAAATTTGGTAACGAACGTTATCACAGCTTAAATGTTTCAAGTCCTTGACCATTATTCAAATAAATAGTTCTCTGCTTCAGTGGCAGTGGTCTCATAAAGAAGGCTTGTGGGACAGGACATAAAGGCTCTAATACAGTAAGGCCTGCAAGAGCAGGGTTGTTTGGAAATGTATCTTTACAAGCCATTGACTTCTACAAGATTTAAAAATATGTTCTGGTATATAAAAAAAAAACAAACCAAAGGATAGATCGCAAATAAAATTCTGATGTGATATAATTATAGCTGCAAAATGTATGAACAATGATATATCAAATTTTGCATGTGGATGTGGTCCTATTGATTGTATCCACCATCTGCTGGTAAGTGGACAGTAGCTGATTTGAGTTTTATTTTTCAAGAAGCAATGAAGAGTAGAGGAAAGAGGATAATATGAGCTTTTTAGAAATAAAGTCAGAAAGAACGTGCACAGTTGACAAAGATGCTTACATTCATGGCATGGAATAAGCAAATATAAATATTTGGGAGTGATTCTAGACTGAAAGACCAAAATCAGAAGGAAAAAATAAGCCTGAAGATTTCTTATCAAGAATGACATTTTAATTAATTAGAGAGGCAAGAGGCATTTGAGTATATATCCTGGCTGGCATTAAGCGTGAAAGTGTGACACTCCTAAAGCCTTTTGCCTCAGCTCAGGGATTGTAGTTGAGAGGCAACTGGTGTTACTGGCATGTAGCTGTGACATACTGTGAAGGAAAAAGGTGTGCTTTATGACAGCGAATTAAGATGTCTATACAGCGTATGTTCTATCTTCTCTATGAACATATATGGCTTTTATTCATGTCCAAAATATAGTCACTTTTCTGTTTCTTTACTCGCTTCCCAATTGTGGTGCACATGAATGAGGTATTCTACTTCTGCCTGCTAAGCTTAAGGCTACAGTAACTCCCAAGTAAGCAGTTTTATTTATTCCGCTTCAGCCAGAAAAAGAAGTATGAAGGGCAGAAAAAGAAATTATTTGATATGATGTAGAAATGAGGGAACAAAATAAGGAGCGTGTTTCCTTTCTCTGTTTAAAATAGTGAAACATTTCATCTATTTTTGCAGAAATTGGGCTACCAAACCACATAAAACATTCAGGTTATATCCACATTGGTAAAATGAAGAGGGCCAAGGCACGGACGTAAGCAGCTATCCTTACTGCTTCGTTGTTTTGTCCTTTGTGAGCTAGTTAGGCCAGACAATTACATTACATTTTCTAGCATAAATGGAGCCTAGGGACTAAAGACACCTACTAGGACCAGTCATGACGTGCACGTGATGAGACAGGTGGATGTTTAGGGTACAGGTAGGTTCCTCCTCCCACCTCAAGAGTGACAGAGGAGCGCAGAACTGAAGGAGAACGGTATAGTCAAGGGCAGATGCGGAATGCTTGCAGCAGATGTAGAATGCCCTACACGGGGCAAGAGAGGTGCCAAGCGTTGAAAAATGTTCATATGGAGTGCCATGGGGCAACCTGCTTTGCTCACGTCATGCGCCAAGAAGAAAGCACAGGGCAGAGAGGTATGAGGCAGGCAACCGGGGACACCTGTAAGCAGAACCGTTATACAAAATTTTGACTTCTGTTCTGCTGTAATACAAACAAGAACAAGACACCGATGGGTGTATGTGACTGTCCAAACAGATCTTGAGGAAATGCCAACAACAATTAAAATGAACCCTGGAAACAAAATAATGGAGAAATATAGCCCTTCCCCTGTCTGTGACATGGCATGATTCAATGGGGCTTGCTGGCTGGGCAGGACATACACTCCATACATCAGGGAAATGTGATATCAAATATCAGTAAAAGGAAAAGGTTTGGGTAATATTACATGCATGCAAGTAAAACCAGTACTGGCACTGAGAGCCTTAAAAGCATCCAACTTGATAAAAATCCTAATGGTGGTAGAGCCATGAAAGGACACTTTGTGTACTGAATATATTCAGTAAGCATTTTCTGAAGTGTCTGAAAGCAGAGCTTCATTCTGCTGTATCCCAACAGACCTTCAGTCTACAAATTCAGTGTCAGGAGTGCATGTGCTGGAAGATTAGCAAACCCAATAGGGCCAGAAACAGTGAAAGAACTTCATTATTTTGCACATTTGGCTATAATGGAAAAAGAAAAGAAGCCACGGGAATAGGTTATTTGATTAGCTGTGATCCAAACAGGAGAAGAAACTCCTAGCGTAATCCAAGCCAACTGTAGCCACTTCACAGAGGCAAAAATGCTGAAAGAAACATGCGGTATTGAGTGAGTCCGTTGCAGTAGATGCTCAGTGCAGGTGCTGCCGTACTTGGACTGCAGTGTAGCATTTTTACTTTACCTGTTGGGCAATAGCATTTCAAGGGATTTGATACAATCCCCGCACAGATGATATTTTAGGGAAAGGCGGGTGAAATATTGGCAGAGTGACAGGAACTGAAATCTTGTCAATGATGCGCTAATAACATGAAAACCAAAACCCATTCTATTCATATGATGTGCTGGCGTAACCTGAAACTGGTTCATAGCAATGGCAAGGCAGCGTACAAAAGATATGTTTTGATCACGTGTTAGAAAAGGGAATCATCACAACTGAACCAAAAAGAAAAATAGCAAAACTACCAAGTCAGGTGTTCTGCTTAGATAAAAGGCACTTGGGTTGTTGTATCCCTTTGAAATACTTCGATGAAAGGAGAAAAATAGCTGATCCCAAGGATTCCAAATATGGTTTAGGAAGAACATATTAATCTGGTAAGATGGAAAGGAAAGCCTGAATTTGAAAGCCCCGATGGAAGAGGTGAGTAATGACTTCTGCATTTGTGAAGAGTACCAGAAGCAGAACTGCAGGGAACCTCTGCCAGATGTGAGCGTGCGTGCAGGAACTACCCAGGCCTTACGACCAACACAAAGAGTGTTATCGCTGTGGCTGCCCAGAGAGGTTGTGGACGTCCCATCCCTGGAAACATTGAAGGTCAGGCTGGACGGGGCTCTGAGCAACCTGATCTAGTTGAAGATGTCCCTGCTCACTGCAGGGGGGGTGGACCAGATGACCTTTAAAGGTCCCTTCCAACCCAAACCATTCTGTGATTCTATGAATAAGACTATGAGAGTGCTCATGTCCATTATAGGAAAAGGTTAAATCCCAAACTCCGGAGCTTTGGTCCTAGGGCAGACATGCCTTTGATACCTGATCTGGGATCAGGGATTCCTGTATTTCCAAATAACCTAGTAGATGTTCCTGCCTCAGCTCTTCCCAGCTGTATTGTCTGTTTCACTTCTAGGAGGACACAGGGGAGATTCTTTTTGACAAGGATTTCAAATTTTATTTCAGGATTTGGTTTGGCTCTTGTCCTGGCCCCAGCCAAGAAGCATTTTTTTCCCCCGAGATTTTAAACTTTAAAACCTCTTTTTCGTATTATATACTGTCTATCCCATGAAATAAAACACCTGTCATCCTGTCAGCAAGGCTTCTGGAAAAATGAATGATTGCTGAAATCACTTTGTTCTGGTTAATTCTAGCCCAGTTAGATTTCAGGGGGGGGCAGCAGGGGTGTGCGTGACATTATGTCTGTCTTACATTCTTTGTCCTGTATTGCATGTTCTCAGTTGGAAACATAGATCAGACAACCATTCTGACAAGCAGGTGGTACTATTACATTGGCAGTACCATATCTATCACGGCTCTCAGATTAAAATAGTACACCTTCCCTCGCTGGTCAAGGTTTATATAGCAGCAGAGCACGTCTCCATCCATATTTCAAAACAATGTCCTGTCTTATGATTACTGTCTTGTTCCTATGGTGGCTTATGGACTAGAATATTGATACTCGCTGCATTTAGTTCTGTGAATAAGAATGAAACAAAGAGCTGTAATGGAACTTCAAAAAGAATCTAAAAAGAAGTTCTTCTGGCACAGCTGCTGTATGATTGACACAGTTATCCATCAAAAACCATCTGAGGTGCCCTGGAGACACCCGTTTTCGATGCCCATGTAGAGCTGTCTGATAAGACACGAGACCTGCAGCCTTAGGGATTAGCAGGTGACGGCCAGGTGGGGTAGATACCTCAGGGCATCTCCAACGGCACCAGGCTCCTGTACATGGGCAGCTGAATAAGCCAGTGGTGAACACGGTCACTGGGATCTGGAGAAAGGCTTATCTCAACCTAGGCTAGCTTTTGGTTTGCTGAATGGCTCACCAGCCTAATACTCCATCTAGTGTTATATGTCCCGTGGTATCCAAGACATCCTTGTGAGCAGGCAGACGTGACGCAGGACCTGCGAGAGACCAAAGGATTTCTGGAGTGGAGATGCTGCAGGGATGTCAAATAGCGTTAGACATCTGACCTGTGGGCAACTGAACCCATGGCCTAAATTCTGCCCTTACTGTAATGACTTAAGACACATTGATCACCTGGTTATCCTTGGACACTTAGGGGGGTCTATAAAAAGGAACTGAATATTACCCTGTGTGTTGACTTCATTGTGTAGCACAGGAGAGAAATATCAATGAGTTGCAGGAAAGCTGTTCAGATCAATCAGATCAATTCGGGATGTCTTCCTTTTGCTTAACAAAAAATAGCGTGAATTTAAAAATAATATTTACTTCTTCTTTTGGACAGCTTTTAAAGAAAAGGCCATGTGGCATAGAGTGGCAATTTTTAAAAAGATGTTGTAGTCTTGCTTTTTGACCTTGAATCCAATGAAATTATAAGATGTACTTTTAGATGAGGGTGAATCTTTGCAAATTAAAGAACAAATAAGAAAACTTCTGGATTCAAGCTTTGTGTGAAATACTGAATTAAAAAAAAAAAAGTGGCTGAATCCTCAGCCCTGTGAGGTGAGTATTTTATAAACCACCCCAGAGAAGAGTTTATAGAAATTCTAAAATACTTGTTACCATTTATTTATGTCCTTATCTGCCCAGGTGCCCTAGCTGTACTTGTTGTGTAATTTGTTCTTAAGGTATGTGTTTTGATTGCTCCTAGGCTTATCATTTGTGAATAGCAGTAAAACTGAGCAAACTGTATGGCTGTAATATGCGTATTTTGGCCTGCTACCTTAGGGTGTTGAAGGAATAGAAATCAGAAGTACATTCAGCATCTTACGGAATGGCAATCAATACTTAACACGCCTTTTGTAATTGATTAATATTTCTCCTGGAAAGAAAAGATATTATTTAGTGCGCTATGTTAGTAAAATGTTTCATGTTTTACTTACAATGACTGAAGCTGCTGAAGACTTTCCATGTGATCCTCAGAGAGGTGAGAAAGTGGATTGAAAGACAGGTTCCTAAAAGAAAGAAAAACTGTTTCTTATTTTATTTCAGGAAAAAGACAAGCTAAACTAGTACATTTTTAAATTCAGTTGGGAATTCTTAGTTATAACTTACAGCTTTTGTAAATACGTCATATCTTTAAAAAGATAACGTGGTAATTCTGTAATCATGTTACTGGACAGATCCCTTCGAGAAATACAGAGAACAAAAGCAATCGGATTAATCCTTAGTATTGCACCCCCCCCTTTCACTACACAAACTTTAAGAACTCTAAGACTCAGATTTTCTCCTTTTTATAGGTGAGGAGGCGTGCTATCTTACTTAAAATTTTAATAGCAGCAAAATTAACTTTTATCATTACTTCAGTTCATCCAATACTCCCTTGCTCTGATTTTATCCATAAGTCACTTTGAAGCCAGTCGGTACAGGCACTGATGTTTGGTGATTGCTAAACATGGATCGTTTTAGCTGTGATTCATCATAACTAATTCAGCTGAGGTATCTAATTTGGGAACCTGGTTGCCGGAGGGTCTCTCTATAATTTATGAACTTAATAGTTGCTGAGAGGTGAGATGAATCAAAGCCTAATTACATAGATGTGAAGCTTTCACATTTCATATAGGTAGAACATGCAAAAACAAAGAAAAGAAAGTTAAAAAAAATCCCACAGTAAATTCAACACTGAAGATCAGTATTAGTGAATGAGTTTTCACCATGCCAGTGAATCGGCGTCCTTAACAAATAACCCCAGTTGCTACTCTCCTTCCACAGCCAGTAGCAGCCTCTTCCAATCACTCCCGTCACTCCCGTCACTGACAGCTCCCCTTCTCCTTCGAGCTTTCCCTTCTCTTTCCTGCTTCTACACCTTCTGCGGCTGTTTTGTGTTTCTGCCTAAACATGTCGTGCCGGATCATGAGGCAACCAAAACGCAGATGCAGCGTGACTATATGCAGATGAGCTTAATGCATACACGCTTATCCCCAGGGGAAGTGGCAGTCTCGGATCTTAAAGTAGGTGCCTAAGTTCCCCAGACAGCTACTGGGAGAGGCTGGGTCTCCTCTAAAGCACAGAGATGCTGCCCTAGCTACCTTCGTATAGACTGTACAGGGACTATAGGTACCCTCCGTCTGTGAGCCGAGGCAGCTGAAAAATGTAATATTGGCTGCAGAGGAGCCGGGTGAGGCTGGGCACTGGTATGCCCAGAAAGGAGGGAGCCTGATGGTCACTGGGACTTGTTTTTCAGCCCATACAACTACGTCTTCTGTAAAACCTGGAAAGTCTTGGAATAAGTTTCCCCCCATCCCTGTGACGCTGCCCGAAGCGCTACCCGCAGCTCCCTCTTGCCGGCGTTCCTTTCTGTCCTTCTGCCTGTGGTTCTGCATGGACTCCTCCTTCACCTTTGGCAGGAAAAGTGCGGTACACTCGCAGATTACAGGCATGTAATAGCTCGCGCTTTGTAATTTAAAAATAGATTTTAGAAAGCTCACAATTCCCCCAAATCTTTTAATGAGGGAAAGGCGCTTGCAGGCAGCAAGTGTATTGATTTCCATGAAGAGACATGTAAAGCAAAATATATATTAGAATAAGTACTTAATGATTCAATTTAGTACGGAATGCTAATTTAATGTTTCAGTATGACTACTTGGCTTTTTATTTTCCTAGTTGTGTTAGAAGTTACACGGGACCCTGGTTAATTTTTCCAAGCCGTAACGAGGTGTGGTGTTGTAGTCAGTGCAAAAGAAACCTACGCAAGACTAAGTAGTTAGTTAAGTAAAACTTTCCTTAGTTTTAATTAAAACCAAGTAAATTACAAAGTAAAAGAGAAATATGGAATTTTGTTTGATTAAAGGCTCTGGCATTTGCTACCCAGACAGAAATTTTACATGTGCAAATTTAGCTTTTTTTGCTTTTGCTCTTGCTGCAATTGATAGAGTCCCACTGTGGGGAATTCCTGTTCCTCACTGGTAAGAAACCACATCTATAACACCAAGGAGCATTTTATATTTCTTAACCTGTAGAATTTTTATTCATGAACATGATCCTCCTTCAGATTCTGCTTTTCTTGTCCTGTGTGTTGTAGGACATACAGCTGAATACAAAAAAATCAGAAATGTGAGTTATTACTTTATACCAATATACTCAATTTTAACAGCAACAAAATATTTTGCTCAGGTTTCCTGCAAAGGGGAAACCCAGTCTGAAGGATGAGTGGATTCAACAAGAAAAAATATCTGCAGGTTGAGATACAGGCATACTATAGTATTTCTGCTTCATGATCAGATTGCAAGTCCCAGGAGTTACTGGAGTTTAAAAAGCACCCTGGTGCTCATGATCTGATCACAAGGTGGAAATAATACAGCATGCCTGTTTCTTATTCTGTTTGTTGAAACAAGTGATCACGACAATTGCCAAAATGTGCCATGTGACTGCGCATACAATAATTCACTTAATTGTAAAGAATACCTCCTTGACAATAGCACAACTGTCCCGATGAGGCTTAATACATTGAGACAAATCCTGTGCTGAGGACTGAGAGTCACGCATAGTCAAAAGGGTTTTGTTGCCTTATTTTCATACTTCTTTTACTTACTTACAATACTGTGAGCGCATCGCATTCCAGGAAGATGGTGTTAGTTAAGGCCTTAATATGACTGCCTTCAAAATCTCTGAATAACAATAAGGAAAGTGTCTTTATTCATGAGTTGTGTAATAGTTTTGCAGGAGGTAGTTTAAGCTCTGGGCTAGTCATCTTTTGTTTGACCTTCCTTTATTTATTTCTTACAAAATTAGCACAGATTTATTACCTAGTTTTGAATATGAATGTAAATATGAAATAAAGCAAATTATACCCTTGTCTTTGTTGTAATTTTGTCTCCATTTACAGCCCAGCTTACCGGCCATTTCAGCAATAATAGGCTAATACATTAGTATTTCTTATGTGTAATGTGCGTACCAGAATAAATAGAGACCACTAGGTGGAGATTTTACATTTAATTGCAACAGGTATCTATATATTCTAAGTTATACTTAGGATAAACATGCATTCACAGTAACCAATTTCATTTTCACTGAGAAACTAAAGTGAAAGACAGAATTTTGCTAAACTCATGAGAGTCATGAGAACAAGAAGCAGCTCTAAAGATTTATGTTGGCAGAGGACCGTGGTAGTTTTTAGACAGCCATTTGAAACACTGCGAGGTTCAACTTTGGCAAGGTTACACTTTTTTAAGAATGTTACACCTTTAAAAGTGGCTTGGCCTAACAGAATAAATGATGAATTTTTATCTTCACAGAAAAAGATGTATTTCTTTATCAAATGAAACTTTGCATAATTTACTTACATACGGTTAATAAGAAGCATTTGAGTACAGATCTTCTTGGGAAGAGTCTCAAGTGAATTGTTTATCATTGATCTTCATAAATTAAAACATGGTTAGAAAACAAGATGTTTTATCATACTTCATAACACAATATGCAAGTGTAAGAAAGATATGCAAATGTAAACTTTTGAGAGAAGAATTCAAGAGTAGATTTAGTTACATTGCTTTGAAATTGAAAGTAAGTTTAGATTTTACAGGAACTACACAAGAAAAAAGATTTTTTAAGTTACCAGTAGCAAAATATAGCACAAAGAGTTACTTTTGATACTAGCTTCTTAATGTATTTTATTTATACACAATGGATTCATTGAATGACCAAGAAATATGCTAACTTGAACGACTCAGAAAAAAATGTGTTTATTAAATAATTTACATCCTCAGTACGGTCACTACAGGTTTTCCACATGTGCTATGACCTTCCTTAAACTCTTTCCCATGGGAGCTGGTAAGGGTGGAAACATATTTCGGCCCCTGCTCCATCCACTGCTTCAGTGCTCACTCTGGGGAGCCTGGTCCAAAGGCTACTGGTGCCCGCTTTGATGCCAGCAGCTGCCTGCCAGCAGCTTGGCTGAAACAGCTGAGTCCATGAATCATTAAAGACACAAAATTCTTCATCCTCTTTGCCCTGAGCCAAGGGACTAGCAGCAAAAAGTTAATTTTCTGCTAGCAAACCCAAATAATTTATTTCCCTGGATACTATTAAAAGCAGCTGCTAGCTTCTCTAAGAAACCAAGATTATACTTTTCAGGTGCTGGTTTGCTTGATGAGAGTGATGGAAAATGCTTATAGGACTTCCATCTCCCTCCCACATACTGTAAGCTCTGTCTTATATGGAATTTTCTGTTATAGGCAACACAGTGATATCTGTATGGGAAATTGTCCAAGTGCCTAAATACTGTTTCAGTTTTCTGAAGGGAGATGCTAGGTGTCTGCTGGTTGTATCCAAAGTTTTCCAGTTTAGATCGTGAGGTCCCAGTAGGCATTCTGAGACAAGAGATATGATTCTAAACAGTTTTACAACTTCAGGAATGTGGTTTAGGTTTAACAGAAACATAGTAAAGATAGTCCTAGCATGGAAGATGCCTATGAGAAATCCACGTTTGGATCCTGGTGTGGTAAGCATGGGGAGTTGACAAGCATGATTCCTTCATGAAGAAGATGTTTGAAAGGCTTAAAGAAAGAAAAGAACTTGGAGGAAACTCAAAAAGATAGAAAGGAAAGCTACTTGGATATTGAACAACACCAATATGAAAATGTGCAAGAGCAATACTTACCAAAACCCCAAAGACTTTAGCCCAGTAAATAACTGCTGTGAAATTTTCACCATTGGCTTATAATCTAGAATTCTGGAAAGAAATAATAGTTTACTACATCACCAATCCTTGTAAAGAAACAATGAAAAAATGGCTGCGATGAGCAAATCATGGGGGAGATTTTCCTCTGCAAATCTGAAATAAGTAGACCTAGACGTTATCTCCAGAAATTGGAACATAATCTGTGTGAAAAGGAGTTGCAAGCTTCAGCAGTCATTCCAATTTTTTTGTGCAGAACGTCATTGGCAGACATAGCTTTACTGCCTTGTTCCTTTCTTTTTAGATCAATGCCATAAACACACGCGCTGCCAGAGATGAATGGTGCTTTTACAGACAGGGAGAAAATGGGCATTCACAGCCACAGCCAATTTGTGTAGATCTCTGAGTACTCCACACTTCAAACTAGTGATACATTTATGACTGAGATACCTGTTGACAAAAACAGAAACTAAAATAATACTACCTAAAAACTGATAGGCTACTTTTAAAGAGAGAAAACAGAAACCTTTCAGTCAATTGATGAGAACAACCAGAAAGATAAAGAACTGTGACAAGAAATATTTGATTTTAAAATGCCAAGTGAAAGTGTTTTAAGGTTTCTATCTCATAAAAGGCTGACTTACTGCAAGGGCAGTAGCAATTGATTTAATCTTTTTAATATTTTATAGTTGGAATGATGCTGGGGAAAGCATTAAAAATGTGCTTTTGTGAACAGTTTTGCACTGCACTAGGGTGGATATGTTTTGCTATGATGCAATGGACAACTTTTGCCTAGGTCTTATACGTATGCTTTTTAGACCAAGACAAACTTAGTAAAAATGCTTTGCATTTATGTGCACTAATCTATCAAAATGTCAATACCTGTAGCTTGTAATTCAAAACTTGATAAGGAACCGGAAAGATTAGCCTGATTTTCGAAGGCACTGAGCTTGTATCAGCTGTTGGAAGTGGTGGGGGTACTGGAGTGCCTCATAATGCTGTAAATACTGGCATTTGAAAAATTTGGCCAATATGGTTTGCGAACATCAACTAATGAGGCAGTGTCAGGTACACATAGTAAATGAAGTTTCTAATGGGTGGATAATGATACAAAAAGAAGTTCAGCGATTTGTCTTTGCCTCAGTGGGCATTCAGAGTCACAGCAGGAGTTAAAATTTGTGAAGTGCTCACATCTTTCTCGAGCTACTGGAAAATGCGGAATAGTGGTTGGATGAGATTTTGAAGGGTTGAAGTTCAGATGCCATCTCCTGTATTGTGGAAGGCTGGTTGCTCTGTGATACCCAAGAGACAATCAGTTATTTTAAAAGGGAAAATAAGGCAATAATGTACTCACAATTTCTGAAGTTTGCAAAGTCCACAGAATGCTTTCCTTCATATTGTCTGAATGCAATCGTGTTGTAGAAATCCAGTACCGGTAAGCTAAGAAAGCCAGGATAATCATGATTCATTAACTTCTTAGAAATGCAAATGTTTTATAATCCCGTATTTATCCCCTTCTGCCATTTTAAGCACACTACTAAATTAATGCCTGGTGTAACAGCACTGAAGTAAGATTCAATATTTTCCACCAGAACAGAACCTTCTAATGAATTCTTTGAGACTATTTGGTATGTGTCTGTCTCCAGGGTGTGTCATGTCCCATTTCTTGATTATGCTTTTGGAATAGAAGATCATAGGGTATAAAAAATAAGAAACAAAATAGAAAGCATTGGAGGCTGGGGAGAAAAGCCAATCCTGTTCGAGGCTACAGGCTATTATTTTGAATTTTATTAAATGTGAACCATCACTAGCCATCCTTCTTGGCACACTTACGCTAACATACATTGCACCTGCTGATGTGGCTCAGCTGAAAATTAGTAGCATGTATATTTTGTTTGTATAAAATTGGTTCTAGCACTCTGCCCTCTCTTCAAATGATACAGTCCTTTCACATGACTGTTGTTACTGCAGGCTGCTAACCGCTTTCGGATGGAAGGCAGTTTGAGCCGCCATTAGGAACTGTCAAATAAAAGGCATACACCATCCAGTCAGAAGCAAGAGCTAAACTCAAATACTGTGTACTTAGGGGTTTCATGAGGATTTATCTTAAGCCTGGTGTATGAATTCTTACCCTTGGACCTGTCTCTATTTTCTCATGTAGACTTCATACATGCTAGCTTTGTCTGTGTGCCTTAATCCTATAAGAATTTATCTGAGGTATAGGGCTGATTGATTTTTTTTGTTGTTGTTATTAACAACAGCCATATTTTAAAAGGACACAAGTCATTCTACCTAACAATGTAATATATATGAACACCTTCCTTCTTCATAACTCAATGAAGGTCGGACTAGTTCCTACAGCAGCTTGGAGGAAGCTGTGTTGAAAGCTCTCCAAGTCAAATTCCAATCAAAAGGCCATCCTACTATAAAGAATACGGAAGACACCACCCAGCTTGAAAAAAAAAGTACTAGTGGTCTGTGAGAGGACTGACTACACAGGAGAGCTTGCCATGTGTACAGCTACTTGCATAATTTTGCAGTTGGTTTCCATGGTAGCTTAGCATCAAAAAAGAAAGAAACAAAGAGAAAAAGTTAAAAAGATGCTTTATTTAACCTTTGAAACAGTAAGGTGCAGTTTCATGACAAAATGGTGGCATTTCTTATTAGACAGACTTATTTTCTGCTTACTTATTTTTCTGTGGCAGGGAGCAAGACTAGAGCTCTGTGTATTGCATGCAAAACTGCAGCATCTGCGCAGATCTGGCTACACGGGAAGACCAACATGATCAAAGCAAGAAGTTCAAAGGCAAATGCTGTGCTATACTGTTAAAAAAGTGATCACACAGGTGACTGTATATTGATTTTGTTCATTCTATATACTCCAGGACTCATGTAATAATTTAATAAACTGTCAAGCTACTCACACTTTCTTCACCTTTGTACACTTGCTGAAAACGTCACCTGGAAGAGAATGGGTCTGTGTGTGTGAGTGACCTAAAAGTGATCGGTAACTGATGTTTAAATTGCGTCTTAACTGGTCAGTGTTGCAACTCTCAAAAATCAGATGTTACATCTGGGTGCAGCTGACATAGTGTCAGAGCTCGGAAAAGACTTTGGGCACATCCCATTACGTTACACCGGGCGCAGTCCGTTGGGTGCATTACCTTGCCTGGGAAGCCTGGGTAATCTCAGCTTCTTTGTCATCTGCCCTGATTGTTTAAATCCCGATCTGAAGCTTGAGTGCCCTCCCGGGATTAGCTGGGAGAAGACAGGCCTCCCTTTGGTCTGTTTGGAAAGTAAATGTACTCGACTGCTTGAACAAGCTAGCTGAAGGCCAGCAAACTTCTTTGCCGAGTTTTAAGACTGGCTTCTTTTAAATATTTTCCTTAGGTGATCCAGACAGATCTTTGAGAATTTCTCACATTAACAAGTATTCAGCCATATATAAATTTTGACAACCTGTAGGACTGGAGCTGACAAAATGAAATAGGGAGCTGTCAGTCATCATTAAGAACCAATAATCCTGAAATTCCTGCTTTGGTAACTTCAGCAATATTTGGTGGGTGCTCATTAACCCAATGCTGGCTGCACAAGCAGTGATCTTTAGTGAGTGGCCTGGGGCTGACAGGCTTTAAGCAGCAGGAATGATGAACCCAAATAGCATTCAACTCACCTAATTGTAAACATCTGCAGTGCAAAATGCACATCTCAGCTAACACCCCAAGCTCACTTTAGAGGAGAGAAGTAAACATGTTCTGTGTGCAGTTCATATGACCTGTATTAGATGTCTGGTTTACAGTGTTGACACATATTTTGTCAGATGAATTCCACACTGAAGTGGGCCTTGCAGCAAAATGCTCACAGCATTCACTACATACCAGTAAATCATGTAGTAAATATCTATAGTGGGTCTTTTCTGCAGTCTCTGAATGCAGAGTGCCCATATGTGGTAGTATAGCACTATACAAAGTGTGTTTAGGCATCTCTTTGTTTGTAAAACAGCTTTATGCTGGAGAGCAAAGGGAACTCTACTTACAGGAGGGTTATGTTACTTGAAACAAGTGGAACAGATTTTAAATTAACAGCAGCACATTCTAGTTCTGTTTCGATGCAGCTGCAAACTTCTGGGTATTGGTGGAGACCTGGCAAAAGGAATTCTTGAGTGAATGTGGAGTGTCATTCTGAGACCTCTTTTTAGAAAGGGATTGGACATCTAGATGCAACACCCCCAAATTACCTTAGTAAGGTTCACTTGTCAGGAAGGCTATATAACACGGATGCTGCACTTCCTAGGACTGCAGTGCTTTACATGTAATGAAAGCAAATGTAAGTCAGTCAAACATAAATCAAGTTTAATATCCTACTGTCCATAAGCTACAACAAGCATAAGTGAAATACAACATGTACTTGATGTATGCATATATTTATATATACATACAAATGAGAACATCTGAGAAACTGCTGATGGAACAGTTTCCACTGGAGAATGCAGATTTGTTTAAGCCACTACACTTCACTGAGAAATTGGATGCTTTGATTTTAGTGCAGACCAGAAGGAACACAGCATCTAAACTTGCCTCTTGCTTGCCAAGACACTGTCCTTGCTTTCTGGGATTTAAGGGAAGGGCTTTTTGGGTACCCCAACTTGGCAGTCCATCTGAAGAGCTATCCCAGAGCTGTAACACTTTGGCTGACCTGAGCCTTTTGGGTTTATGACCCTTTGTCAGTAGGCAGGAAGAAATATTTTAGAAGGGATCAACATAAAACATTTCAAGATTTTAATTTTTTTTTTTTAATGTTTCATAGAGAAGCCTTTCTTTTTCCTTTTGTTCCTGAGTGGGATGAAAACAAATATTGACTTTCCAAAAGTTTCTAGAAATGTAATTACCATTTTCCTGCAACCTTATAAAGCTGCATCCTGGCACTAATAAGTAAGTTCCACATTGCATTGCTCTACTCTGGTATGCATGCAAAAAGCTCTGGGAAAGTAAAGCAGTTCCCTGAGCACATCTAAAATTCCAGATATCTCTATAATTATAGTAAATATATGTATGCAGTGAAAAGACTTAGAAGTGTAACATAGTTTAAGGATATTAATAAGGGCATTAGGATTAAGTTAGGATTCTTCTGATAAAGGCAGATAATTAGGCTTTCCATGAACCATATCAAAGATACTTGCCCATCCACTATTATCTCCTATAAGAGGTGTTAACCTTTGTCAGCTGTACTTTAAATTGTCTATCAGCTTTTAATGAAAACTAGAACATTAATGCCAATTTGTCTGTGGGGTACATGTGTTCTTTTATATGGGATGGAACCAATAGTAACTCTTCAAACGTATTGTCTTTTCTGCTGATTATGAGTAGCAACTAAAAGCCCAAATTAAGAAATCTCATGTAAATTGAATATCAGAAGTGTACCAGACTATAAGCATGGCAGAGAGAGAGAGAGAAAACTAGAGAGACAAATCTAATGTTGATGCAAAATACTGTTAGAAGATGTGTTTGTGAAAAGAACTGAATGCTAAAGTAGAATGATTCATGTAGTGGAGGAACTCACACTGCAGTACATGGTATAGCATGGAGAGTTACAAATTATTTACAGTGAAAATCTACACATGACAATGAAATTGTTCTAGGACAAGACTGAAAGTCAGAAAGTGACTCAGTAAAAAACAGGATGTTGACACCAGTTTCAGTAAATGAATATGTTTTGTGATCTCAACTTTCAGGCAAAACCATGGAAAATGATGAGAACAGATCATTACTGTACCAGCTAAATGTATAGGCAATTGTACAAGTTATATGAGATTTGAGAGAAAATCAGTTAAAATTTATGAAGCTTAGACTTTTTTTTCTTTTTAATAGATTGGCAGAATGTGGGAATATCTATTACATGTGGAAAATCATAAACACAAATGACCACATCCAGAGGTGGTAGCTGAGGGATGATGGTAATGAAAAAGGAAAGAAGCACAGAAGGATGATTTGAAATACCTAGAAAGAAGAAAAGGAAGTGAAAGAGATGTAAGAACTTCACCAGGAGGCAGGTGGGGAGGGAGGATACAAAGCAGGAGATGACAGCGGAGTTGACACATTATCTTCCAACCCGACATGCTTCAGTCACAGAAGTCAAATGTGATGTAAAGGGAACCATGCTCCAAAATAGGGATCATTTATTAGCCAAAAAAGGAGATTGGTCTCATTGATCTGACTTCCTCATTGTTCTTTTGGATTGAGAGCGGGCATGAAGATCAGTAAGACAGAGAGGAATGGTAGTGTGATCACCACCAAGTGCGTATATGCTTATGCACATGTACCAACATATGTATATATCTAAGACTCTTACAACACTTGAAAACATCATAGAATAAGAATTCTTCGCTTCTACTGGTAGGAAGCCTTACTGAGCATAAGTACTCCTACTTAGGTGCAGGAGTTTGTGCACCCACTTTGAAGGATTCCCCAGACAGATACACAGTGATTACCCACTCTCCAGAGCAGAGGATAATATAAGAGGGATTCTACAGGAATCTCACCATTGGAGTCTGCCTGAGGCATGCCTTTAGACACGCTGTCGGTTTTCTTTGCTGACCAGCATGGTGTAATTCCCTCATTCACTGAAGAAAAGAAAATAATCAATTACACTGAAAACCCCAGACTTGTCAGGCTTGTGGATCATCTGCCGACTATTAGTGATTCAGTGTGTATTAGCTGGAGGAGCACATCCCACAACCAAATTTTGTTTCTGTATACTTACAGATGTTACAGTATTCAGCACAGTTCTCTTCATCCACACCATTCTCATAGTCATTTATGCTATCACAATGAAATGTCTGTGGGAGGCATATCGTATGATTTCTGCATGGAAAATAACCCTTTTGGCAGACAACACCAACTGACATGTCTTCTATCAGCCAGGAATCTGAGAAAATATGGGAAGACATTTCCTCTATAGTAGAGTAAGTTTTGAATTAGAAAGGCCTGATAAAACTACAACCACAGCATGCGACAGAATATTTTCATTTTTCATTTTAAAGTGCATTGTATGTCATTTTAATTCTGCCTGTTTTATTAGTGTCAGCTACAAATGGCTTACCACCACTGAAACTTAGAAGAGACAGCTTAAAGGTTCTGTTTGGTTTTCTTCTCTCTTTCCTATCATCTGCAGAACACATTGCTGGCCAGAAAGAAACTTATTAACGTACCTTTCCTGGTAGACTGTTTCCTCAAAGGTGTAAGCATGAAGTAGCAGAACCCTGCAGCCTGGCCAGGGATGGACAGAGGAGTGGTACTTGGGTGCTTCTGGCTGGGGGAAATGTAAGTGTCCTGTGAAGAGAGGACTTCCAGCTGGAGCATGGAGAAAGCCACTTCTGATGCTGAAGGCAGCTGGGCCATGGGGAAATGTCCACTTACACATCAGAGAGGTACAAGTACTAAGAACACTTACTGCACACAATTACAGTAAAATCTTTGAGCAATTGGCAAGTCAAATCTTGTTATGAATCTGCAAAGTTGATCTCAGATTTATGGCTTTTCTTCTGGGATTTTTTTTTTGCATTAATGCGATTACATTTATAGTCTTGTAAATCATTCATTTAAACAAGATGTTCAAAGCAAGAGAATAGTTGTTATTTCCTCTATTGGCACATATCGCAAATGACTGGTTTTCTGCAGAACATTTGCAGGAAATCTGCTCTATTATTTCATTACAGGTATGGAGCATATGTCCATTTGGAAAAACACTTTTTCGCTTTCACAAAGTTTACAGGAGCTTTTATGGCCAAGAAAAACTAATGGAAGAATGCTAGAACTGCAAAGAAGAAAACCAAACAAACCAGGAAAGTTCTTTGTATCATACAGAGCTGATTCTGGTTTTACTCATTAGCAATGTCTTTGAAAAGTGAAGTTCAAATCTGACAAAGCAAATTTGGTTATAATCTTAGTTGAACGGGTAGAAATGTCTATGCACCCACCTTGCAAAGGCAGACATGCTGACTGTAGACACACGAGACTCCTATGGGACTATATAAAAGATTAAAATGAAATATATGGGATAAAATTATAGGGAGGAATGACAGAAACAAAGTGATGTAATCCAATTCTTATGAGGCTGATAGACAATTAGGGGCTATATCAGCAAGGATGGAAAGAGCAGAAATTCAGCTAAATGGTAATCTTTCAAAACTGAGTATGGTTTAGTCTTGTCTAACACTGTCCTAATAATACTGCTTTTTTGTATGATGCAAAGAAATGAGGTTGAGACACGATGATAGGAGGTGAAATACATAGTTGATTCCAAACTCAGGCTTGAGATCCAAACTCAATTAATTTTGGAAATCTTGTCAAGATATGCCTTGCCTTTTAAGTGAGATACCCCTAACATTCTCTTGCTACAAAACTTAAAAGATGGATGAAAAGGTTTAGACCAGCTTTTCTGAAGGCTTTTGTAGGGATCCACTATGTGGATAAAAGCAGGTAGTTTAGACTGGTTAAGCTGTAGATCTTTGTATATCAGTATTTTCAATATTGTTACAATTAGACTCTGATAGTTTGCTGTTTTCATCAAAGTCTTTTTGGTAGTGCCGGTATTTTTAGTTCTAACTCATTTTTTCGTGCATCAGATATTGCACAAAGGTTGGGCTGGAAAAAGCTTGCTTTATTCATTCAGGGACAGAAAAAGCATTTTTTCAAAGTACATGTATATGTGCAGTATGGCCCTACAGTCCCTTTTAAGAACTGAGTGTGTCCATGACCTCTCAAGAGAAGCAAAGCTAAAACAGAATGCATATGTGGTAGCAGAGCTGAAAATGAATCCTGAATCTCTCTTCGCTCTCGGCATTCAGTTAATTGCCCTTGCAGACAAGACACCAGCTGTGATCCAAACAGAAAGGGCTTGTTCTTTTAGTTTTCTCTTTGAGTCTCTAAATTCATGTTAACTTGTCTTAATTTGCTCTTTCACCAAGCGTAGTGCATTTACTGCTCTGATGGCTGCAGTCGTTCCTGAAACACTTTCCAGTAATGCTGACACACAAACAGGGGTGTCATCTGCTGGGTATCCACATCCATTCTCATCAACGTCTGCAGTATTAGGAGGAGCTCGTGATTTTCTGCCCCATGGACAGCACTTCGGCTGATGAATAGATACAGATAAAAGTGGAAGCTTCTGTTTCAAAGCAATAATGCCATAAAAGCAATTCTTTATTCACCATGTGATAAAATTCAATCTTCCAATTTCTGCCTGTGATGGAGTTGCTCCTTCCCTACTTACTACTACATTTCTCCTATTTCTCAACATAAATTTCTGAGTGGCAAAAGTTGACCAAACCATATCATGTGTTACTGAGGATCAGCTAGGCTCACGCAACATGTGCACAGTTCTCGAACATGTCACTATTATTCAATGTGCTTTAATGAAACAAGTCTGTAAATTGATTGCAAACTTGGTAGTGCAAGCAAGGAATGTTGCCTCTTTCAGTGACTGTGGTTATAAGAACAGCTTTGTTTAAAGCAGAAAAACTGGAACATTCTCTGCAAATGTCCAAGTTGTGCAAAAGCTGTCCTTTGCAATGAGACAGACCCAGAGATTTCAGCACTGGTTAAAACTGGTTTAGTGAATCAATACTGCTTGGAGCTGTTGTAACACACATAATTAAAGCACTTTTCAGATCATAGCTGAATATATTTTTTGCTCCTATTATTACTGCTCCCAGGTGTCATGGTTTAACCCCAGGCAGCAGCTAAGCACCACGCAGTGGCTCACTCACACCCCCCCACCCAGTGGGATGGAGAGACAATCAGGAAAAAAAAAGTAAAACTCGTGGGTTGAGGTAAGAACAGTTAAATAGAACAGAAAGGAAGAAACTAATAATGGTAATAATAACAATAATAAAATTACAATAATAATAATAATAAAAGGATTGGAATATACAAAACAAGTGATGCACAATGCAATTGCTCACCACTCGCTGACTGATGCCCAGTTAGTTCCCAAGCAGTGATCCGCCCCCCAGACCAACTCCCCCCAGTTTATATACTGGGCATGACGTCCCATGGTATGGAATGTCCCTTTGGCCAGTTTGGGTCAGCTGTCCTGGCTGTGTCCCCTCCCAACTTCTTGTGCCCTCCAGCCTTCTTGCTGGCTGGGCAGGAGAAGCTGAAAAATCCTTGACTTAGTCTAAACACTACTTAGCAACAACTGAAAACATCAGTGTGTTATCAACATTCTTCTCATACTAAATCCAAACCATAACACATATCAGCTACTAGAAAGAAAATTAACTCTACCCCAGCCGAAACCAGGACACCAGGTCACTGTGAGAGCACACAGGCCAGTTTGCTTTACTTCAAAATCACTGAAATATTATTGACTGAGAGCTCGGTGGGAGTACTTGTTAAGTTCACATATCGCTTAAGAAGGAAGAGATGAAAAGAAAGAAAACAACCCAGTCAGTCAAATGAATCATAAGCACTTAGAATTAGTAAACATTCTTGGAAAATGGAAAGAGAAATCTTTAAATTTCTGGATCCTGTTTCAATGAAGAAACACACTAAAACATATACAAAATTATTTACTTGTGCACAGATCTAAGTTTTCATAACCATTCTTTTCCACCAGTATGTTGTTTGTTGGGGTTTTTTTTAGCTGGGAAAAGAAAGGCTTGGGTTTATATCAAATTTTCCCTGGAAAAAAACCACCCAGTCCAATAGATTCAAACTGCAGGTTGAAGAGGTGTTTGATGAACTCCAAGTACTGTTGTCATAAAATTTTGAAAATGCTGTAGATTGTCCACATGAAACATCAATGTAATGGCCTGAAGGGTGAGCAGGATTAAAGCAACAATGCAAATTAGATACCATCTGTTTGTGAAATTTGTAAAATGTAAAAAAAGTGGCACTAGTCATCAGTTTTTCCACATTAATCTAAAATGTGCTTGCTTTAGTGTTCCTGCATTTACTACGGTGACAGACTCTTCATCTACAGCACTCCATAGGAAAACAACATCCCTGAACTCTCTTTTTGAAATGAATGGATCCTTTACCAGGTCATTCTTTTCCCTGGTTGAAAAGCGAGTCACACTATAATTTATGCTCAGTAGTTGTATGACACTTAAATATGATTGATTGTCACATTTATAATAGCTGGGTTTTTTTATTGTCAGAACTGAACAACTCAACTGATCACTAGCCTGCATTGGTATTATTAAGGTCTGGACTGTAAATCCCTTCCTGACACTGAGAAGCAGTTACTCACTGAAGAGCTGCTAAAGCTGCTGTGAACAGCAGTTCATCATAAAAAGAACAGACTTAAAAGACTGGATTTAAATATTTTATCCTTAAATTTGTCACGCATAGAATCTCTAGGCTGTGATATAAGAAGTCTGGAACTGCTGTTAAAGGTACTTGTTCTCTCAGCTACATCAGAAGATCCTCCTGGGCTTATCAATTCAGACTGATAAGCCTTATTCAAGTGTTGAAATTTCAGTCACTAAAGTTTTAGGTGCAGTTTGGCTAGCTAGCACCAATGACAAAGTTACAGCTCTGCTTTGAATAACCTTCTTTCCGCTCAGCAGCATGCCAGTTTTGTTTCTCCAACACACCCAGGATGCTGTATAATTACTTTCCACAGATCTTGGCATGGGAGGATAATTATGTGAGATTTCTTTCTGGCTGGAAGACTTCGTGTCACAGTGGCCTGTTGGAGAGAGCTTTTCTGGGGAAGAATTGCAAAAAAAAGGGAGCTCTTTCTCGCCAGCCGTTAGAGGGCACTGAAATTCCATCTTTTTATACAAGTATCAGTTTAGTCACACTAAATCCCAAGGGCACTTTTTGAAGGTTAACCAGCCATTCAGGTATCAACAGTATTTACAATCAAGTGACGTTTCCTACTCTTTTGGGGTGGACTCACATATCTGGTCTCAGAATTGTAGAGTACATTCCTAGTGAAGCCTAAACAGCTTGTAATCAATACCCATTTTACACTACAGATGTTTTCCCCAGAAATGTGCCGCAGATGTGGGTTTCCCAGACATAACTGTGTCCTATGACATTCCCGAAGCTGCTATACCAAACACATGCATTTATTTGTAGACACATTTAAGAGGAGAGGGCAAGATGGGAGCTGATCAGTCATTCTCTTCATATTTCTGTACCGCTTGGAATGCAGTTATGTGAGGGCTGTGAGGACTTATCTACACAGGAAAAATCTCTCTGATACATGTCTCCTTTCCCACAATGTTTGCTCGTACCCATGGTTATCCAAGGCTTTTGAGCTGGAACCAGTTTAGGACGGAGGCTGCACTGCCTTGGAGCACCCAGTCATCTTGGGTTCAGTCCCTCTCTGGAGTAGTCTCAACTAGTCTGGTTTGGGTAAAGGCAACAAAGAGTTTGCTGTTAAA